TACCAAGTTCTGACAGGAAAATAGGGATACACTCTGGGCTCCTCAGTTACACTGATCAATATTTTATCTACCAAAGAAAGCCTGGTCAAGATGCAGCAGGATCCTGGGACTAACTGGACAAACTCTGCTGTGTGGGAGTCCCTAGACCAGCCAGAAAGTGGCTTGGGTATTTTCTGACAGCAGCCAGGCACTAAGAGGTCCCAGAGTAGAAATGGCCCTGGGTAAAGCAAGGGATGAGGGCAGGCGAGGGGGTGGGGGGGAGAGAGAGAAAGAGTCCAAGATCACTTTCTCATTCCATGAGTCTATATGTATGCATAGAGTTGGTTGTCTGTTATCTGTTATCTCATCGAAGGAGACAAAAAAGAATGAGCCACACCACTCCTCACTGGGGGCAACCTGCCATTGTCATTAAAAGGTCACCTCAGGCCTGGATGGACATGCAGTAGCAAAGTCCTTTCATGTTATGTCACCATGCTAAGAGACGTTAAAGTGCCTAGGGCCTCCCTCCCCATCAAGCTTAGGTGGTCCTCAGGCTCCCTAGGCAGTGCTCATGAGAGGTGTTGGTGTTGGTTATATTAGCTACTTTTCTCATTGCTGAGACAGAAGTGACTTAAGGAAGGACAAATTGGTTTAGGCTCACAGTTTGAAGGTACACAGTCATGGTGGGGAAGGCATAGAGACAGGACACATTGAACGCACATTGCAGAGACAGGTGGATGCTGGAAACCAGCTGGCCTTCTCCTGTTTCCCTTTTTAGTTAGGCCCCAGCCCATGGGATGGTGCTGCGCCTATTCAGAGTTCAACCTCCTTGGAAACTTTCTCACCCACATCCCAGACGTGTCTCTCCTAAGTGATTCTAAGTCCTGTCAATTTGACAATGGAGATGAAGCATTGCAAGGGCCAGGATCAGCAGCCTGTAACGTTTATGTTCTGAGTTCCTCTTGCCCCAGGCTGGTCCAGGAAGCCTTGGCAATGGAAAAGGGTGTACATTAAGTCCCCAAGCCTCTAGCACACACCCTCCAGGAGCCTTCCCCTTCAAAGAGCCAAGTGTGCTGAAGCCCAGGCTAAGACTGGACCCTGCCCCTGTCCAAGGTCCAAGAACATCATATATTCTCCCTTCCCAGAACTAGGCAGAAGCTGATATAGCCTCTGGCCAACTGCATTCAAGTCAGATACACACAGTAGATGAATATAGATGACAGATTTTATTTATCTTGTTCTGTTCTGTTTTTTAACTCTTTGAATAGGGTCTCTCACTCTGTATCCCTGGCTGGCCAGGAACTGTATAACCAAGACTGCTCTCAAACTGGTGGTGATCCTCCTGCCTCTGACTCCTGAGTGCAGTGACTGCTATCCCAGCTCGATTTCATTTATCCATCTGTGTGCTGACCTGCTCACCTCTTTGATTAGTACATCACTCTCTTATCACATGAAAGTCGGGAGACAACTTCGGGGAGTCACTTCCCTCTTTTCCACATTTGCACACATCCCAGGGATGAAACTCAGGTCAGCACATGAAAAAAATTAAGAGTTTAGAACTGGAAACAGGCTTGGGAGCCTCTGGTAGATGGGCCTGGCAGATGCAGAAGCGTGCCATGCCCTGTGTGGCTGAGACACTCCTGTCTATCTCCATCAAAGGCAGCGGTATGAGGGACACACTAAACCTAGTGAGCTCTCCTGAGAAGACAGCCATCCTGGGGCCAGGCGTGTCTCTAGGAGGAAAGATCACCCTGAGACTGAACTGGGAGGCTGGAAGATAACATGGAATGGTGGTGGAGAGGCACCAGGAAGCTATGTTTGTAGAAGAAGCATCTAGCCTGTCCCCAGGAAAAGAGGGTAGACCACAGACTCTAAAGGGATTGCCTCTGCAGGTGTGTGAATTCCCACACCTGGCTGGCTTCCTCTGCTATGTCCTCAGATCTTCTGAACGTGTGGGGTGGGAGGTGGGGAAACAGGACTAGAAGAGTTTAGTTGACCCCAGGCAGGGGACTTAACGATTTGAGTTTACGTGGAGTTTTCCATGCCACTCATTTGAAGCATAGCTGCTCTGCGGATGAAGAGAGAGATCTAAGACTCCCTGTCAGGAGAATAAATTCAGTAGCAGAATATCTGCCTAGTGCTCACAAGGCCCTGGGTTCAGTCCCCAGCACTGCAGCGGACTGATGGGGGGTGGGGGCGAGGGTGGGGATGGGGGACAAATCCTCAGGAAAGAAAAGAAAGGACAAGAGTTGGGAACATCATGTTGCTGTACCTGGATCGCGACCTGACTCCCATACTACCCCGCCCTCTCCGGCCTTGATGTTGTCCACAGGCCTTTGAGTGACTCTGGCTCCTCTGGCCTCCAGATGCTCCGTAGGCCCTGTATACCATGCCTTTGCCTCTGCCTCCTTCCTTAGTTCATGCAATCTTCACGCTGCAGGCCTGAACCTCTGCTCAGCATCCCTCCCGTATCCCTTAGCTGTTCTCCCACTCCTTAAGACACCCTTAAAGCCTTAGCATGCCCGTATGGAATATGTCAACATATAGCGCTGCACAGTTGGGAGCAATATGGCCTGGAGGCTCACCTGGGCCTCTGGCTTGGCTTTTAGACTCAAGGTGGAAGGCTCTAGGTGCTCAGAAAAACTGTATGGTTGATTGGTTTGTTTGTTTGTTTGTTTGTTTGTTTGTGACATGGTCTCATCTAACCTAGGCTGGCCTCAAACTTGCTATGTAGCCGAGGATGCCCTTGAACTTCTGATCCTCTTGCCTCCACCTTGGGATTTCTGGATTAACAAACATGTACTGTAGTTCTCTGTTTTTTGCAGCACTGGGAATTGGACCCAGGATTTCTTGCATGCTCGGCAAGCACTCTACCAATTAAGTTGCATCCACAGCCTGAAGAAGTCCAGGAGCTGGCAGGAAAGCAGAGGCTGAGAGTTACCACAGGCCCCCAGCTCCATCTCAGCAGGACCACCTCATGTGATATGTGGAGGTTGTCTAGCTGAAGACCTTTGGCTCAGGGCAGCTCTTCTTGGAGCTGTGGGAATGCTGGGGGACCAGCAAGCCTAAGACCTCTCTCCCCATATGATCTGTCTGGTCTAGGCTTCAGGTGGCCATGTCACAGATTCTTAGGATATTCACCCCTGACTAGCATGTCTGAAAACCTTCTATTGACACCTTCGTCACAGACACAGGCTTCCCAGCATCTGGTTGCAGGTGTCTGTCCCCAGGGAAATCTGACAGTCCCTCCGGTTTATACACACACATATCATGAACATTTCTGCCGACGCCAGCCCAACAGCTATCCCTCGACTCACACTCCGACACCCTTCTTTCTGCTCCATTTGCCAGCACCAGATTTCACCCTCTTTGGTGGGGTGATGGAATAGACTCAGGCAAGACCATCTTATACTTTTTGTAAAACAAAGTCTTCTGAGAAGAAAAGTCCAGCCACCAAACACATTCTTTCCAGCCATATTGGCTTCCTCAAGAGACCAGGACATGGAAGATGTGCTCAGTAATCCGAAGCCTTGTGGTTTAAAATGGTGTTTGTCAGCTTATGGGTCCTAGGAACTCTCAGGAATGGACCTCCTTCCAGGCAAGAGAGGGAGGGGAACAGGTCTGGGGGATGGGAGAGAGCACAGTGACTCCTGGGGAGCAAATAGATTTTATTATATTGAACACAGCAATTGATTTTTTTTTCTTCTAAATAAACACACAAAGGAAATAGTAATGGGCATTTGTTTCTGACAAGAATCAATTGACCCCAAATTGGAAGAAAATCTCGAAACACAAACAAGTGCAAGGAGAAGCATTTGGGCCACCTGGCCTTCTCCAGTGAGAGAGGGAGGGCACGAGACAGAAACGGCTCCTCATACGGATCCATGCTCACCCCACTATGGTTTCAGCAACTAAGAGTGGGAGAGCAGCCAATCGTTGAGCATTGGCTCAGGGTAAAGACGTGTGTGACTATGTTACTTAACCCTCATGATATCCCTGTGAAATCACTGAGGCCCTTGTGCCGGGTTACACAACCTGGAAGCAGCAGAGCTGGGACTCACAACAGCAGTGGTCCCCAAACTTAATGCCTGTTCACTAGCAGGCCCTAAGACGTTAGCCTGGTACCTTCAACGGGCGTTAGGATTCAGGGAGAGAGGCCCTGGCTCCATACAGTCCTCACCCAGCACCCACTGCCCTTCCATGTGGAATAGAGGGTCAGAGACGCCAGCAAATTGCCCAGTCTCAACGAGCCCAGGCTCCAGAAGTGTTTGATGTGTGCGTGCTGGGGACAGGGCAGAGTGGAGGCGCCCTGTGACATCCCTGCAGCCCGTTCACTTGGCTGTGCCCTGTACGGTGGCCCGTCACCAGCAAGATAAACTGTGTCACATCACAGTGCATCACAGGCCTCATTTGCCAAAGAACCGTGCGATGCTGACGTGTTCAGCCAGCACACCGGTGATAAAGGGCCTAAGAGTAATGGGCTGTGGGCTCCAGTTTAATCTCCTAAAGCCTCCCTTTGTTTCTTGGTCATGGACTTGTGTACACGTGTTTGTTTTCAAGGAACCCAGCTCTGGGAGTGTACCTAATTACCTTAAGCAGGGATTATTAGCCCTGTTAACTAGAACTCCCTAATCTATGAGGCCAAGGACTCAAAAGCAGCCTTTTAAAGGCAGGATTAAGGCAAAAAGTGAACTGTGACAGAATAGAATTGGGGCTGGCTCTCCTCACACCATGGGACAACAGCTGCAAATTCTACTGGGAGAATGCCCCCCCCACACACACACACACTCTGTCTGGCTCGGATATTATCGGCATTTGAGATCTGGCTTAAGTATCAGTAGGCTGGGTGGGCGGGCAGGTGGATGGGTGAGCGCCCTCTATGACAGTGGCAAAGTCTACCGCATCCTGGAAATGTCCCAACAGTTGCTTATGAGCGAGATGGGTGAACGGATCGGTGGGTGGAGCGTTCTCTCACGACCCCAGGGTACACTTGACATAACAGCCTTGTCTTCTCTTTCCAGGTGACGTGTGCACCATGGCCGGCTATGCTCGTCTCAAAAACGTCCTCCTGGCACTCCAGAGCCGCAGACAGCCACAGCCACAGCCACCCCAACAAGGAACCAACAGGCCAAACCTCGCCTCCCAGAAGCGCCTCTTGGTGGAGTCGCTGTTTAAGGACTTGGATACTGACGGCAACGGCCACCTCAGCAGCTTGGAGCTGGCTCAGGTGGGTATGGCATTTGTGCTGAAGAGACATTCACGTTCCATGGTGGGGACAGTTGTTTGTAGCTGCCTCTGTCACGGGTTGCCAAGGAGGCCCCTTTCCCACCCTTCCCAGGACTCGAAGCTTGTGGTCGGCACAAGTCCATGTCTCCCTGCCACCTGCCACCTTAGCCCATGTTTACAAACCAATTTTGAAGTTTCCTCGGCTTGCAGGTAAAGCCTCCCCTCTAGAAGGGCTGCCCACTAGTGTTTTCCTCAGAAATCCAGTCTTTGGTGCTTTGGGCCTGTCATTTTCTACAGCAGGAATGTACTTGCTGCGGTGAACATCTTCGGCTCTCCAGCCTGGGGATCTCCAAGGCCTCTGCCCAGTGACAATGCTTCTCTTTGGCATCCAAACCCCAATGACCCAATGCCTACCCACAGTTGTTTTGCTTGTGGGAAGCCCTGTGTCCACCCTGCCATGACAGTTGTCTGAGAATGCCTGCGGACCCAACCCAAAAGCTCACCTCTTCTGCAAAGGCTGTACGTTAGAAGATGTCACTCTGTCTAACTACAAGCATAGCTTAGTGTCCGTATCACAAAAGAAGCAGGAAAGAGCAATATAGCTCCCTGGGGCCACTGCCACTTCAGGGAGAGGCCTGTATGGTCCCAGGGGCAGGAAAGCTAGCGTGGGACTGAGGGCTGTGTTGTTCTAGGCCCAGCCAAACTAGAGATAATCAAAGAGATGGGTTCAGATTTCCCAGGCAGAGTGGTCCATGGAAACAACTCTGCCCCAGAGGCCTCAGAGTGCTCACCCAGAGAAGAGGTGACAGAAATGAGTGCTCACCTTTGATGCCAACTTAGGGCCTCTTAACCAGGTGGGCGTGACATCAACCTATAAAGAAAAGACAGGCAGAATCCCAGGGCAAGCGCTGGCTTCAGTGAGACAGCCCGCTTTGATAGAGTTAAGGGCAGTCAAATGTTCTCTCTCTCTCTCTCTCTCTCTCTCTCTCTCCCATCAACCACAAGAATGGTAGCCAGATCATTGAGCAGGCCCTTTGCCCATGGTAGATAAATACAGCCTTTTTGCTTTATGTAGAACAGCAGCTAGGAATACAGGCTCCAAAGCCAACCAGCCTGCAGCCAGGGTCGGCTGCCAGCGTTCATGAGCTAGTGAGTCTCGGGAGGCCCCTCACTCCTAGGCCTCCATTTCTCAGCTGTGAACCTCGAAGGGTCATCACAGGAGTTAATGGAGTTTAGCGGTATACTTGGCACATGAGTTGTTCTCAGTGGGCAGCAGTGTCCTCGTTCTTCCCCCTTCATCCTTCAGCACCCTCTGTTGTAAGGTCAGGACTGCCACCGTCCCGCCTCCCAGGTGTTTTTAGATGAGGAATCTGAGGCTCTAGGGAATCAAGTAACCAGTGACTCCATTCCGCTCACCATACACACCCAAGCATCCCCAGAGGCCTGCTGCCGACAGGTGGCATGGTATCATCGGGCCAGCAGACCCCTGCTCTGTCAGTAGTATTCAGCCCTCAGCTCTAGTAAAGACCCCAAGAGGTGAGGCTAGGAGCCCTCATTTGACAAGAATGGTTCTGGGAAAGCCCCGGGGTCTTATTAACCATGACTACCTTCAGGAACATACAACCGCCTATTACTCCTCAGAGCAGGAAGCGTGGGGCAGGTGACATCAGCCTGCCCTGCCTGGGTAGAGGCAGCTGTGAGCACCTGGTACACCCAAATCCAAGTGGCTCCCAATGGACCTTCTTGGGTTCATTGCTCTAACCTGGCAGAACCATGGCCAGAAGCCCCCGGAGCCATTAACAAGCATGGTAATTGGACTATGATTTCCTCTTTAAAATTTAATATATTTAAAGTCCATCTCATAAATCCACCAAGCAGAGCCCAGCTAATGTGGGCCTTGCCTTGACACTGAGTCGGAGGCGCCGGAGGGAAGAATTCGTCTGTCCTATGAAAAGTTAATCAATTTCCAATGTAGAAATAGACAAAGGGAAATTTCCATCTTCGGAAGATTGATCTGAGGCGTCATGGTTGATCTCCTTTTTATCGAACACTCTCACTTGCTGGGTGAAGGGTCATTTTTTTAACATTATCACATTAAATTGCCTTTAATATAGCAGACCAAGCTGGGAATGTTAAACAAAGAGAAAAATGCCTCCACCTCCACCCCCCAAATAAAATAAAACCATTTCCTTTCTCTTGATTTCCTTCGTAGCATCTCTCTTGCCCAAGCCTGTGACTCTCGGTACTCAACCAAGTGAGGGTGTGTGGAATGTCTACCCAAACGCCCTTTACTGTGTGGCTGGCTGGGATGGAGCAGGGGTTCTGTGTCTTATTGGTTAAACCATCACCTCAGGGGGATCCACAGGAGTCCACCAAAAACTCCTAAGTCAGGACCCTGACTGTGGGGTGGCATCTGTGGCCCTGGAAGAATACGGAAGGCAGAGGAGGCCCAGGTCTTACTGTGGCTCACACATGAAATGCCCCACGGGCTCATGTTTCTGAGCATGTGTCCCAGCTGGTGGTATTTGGGAAGGCTGTGGAATCTTTGGGAGATAAAACCTTGGTGGAGGAAGTGGGCCATTGGGGGCAGGTTCAGACTTAGCATTCTGGCCCCCATCTCCCAGCCAGCATCCTGCTCTGCCACTATACCTTCCCTGCCACTGTCATGTCTTCCATGACTTGCTGGCACTCTGTCCCTCCCCGAAACCATGAAAGCCCCTTTTCCCTTTAAGTTGTTTTTGTCATGGTGTTCTGTCACAGCAATGGAAACAGATCTGGCTTTCTGGGTATGTGCTGTAGCGAGCAAACTCTCTAACAGTGGCTGGTGGGTGGCTAAGGGGAGCGGATGCAAAGATGAAATACAGTGTGTTATTTTTCTCATCACTGTGACAAAATACTTATCAGGAAGCAACTTAAGAGAGAAGGGTCTGTTTATGGCTTACGGTTTGAGGGGACAGTTTGTCGTGGTGAGAACATAATGGTCACATAAGCACGAGGCTGCTGGTCACTCTGCATGAGGAGACAGACAAGTGCCGGTGTTCATCGGGTGCTGTAGTTCCTTTCCCCCTTCTATTCAGCGTGGGTACCCAGCCCACATGTAGGGTGGGTCTCCCCACCCTCAGTTAAACCTCTCTGGCTTCCAGGTCATTTCAACTCCAATCAATGGAGTCAACCATCACAAATAGTGTCCCGGGTTCCCACTCAGATTCAGCAGTTTTGCTGGCTTCCTATGACCGGGCCCTCCTCTAACCTGCTTCCCCACCAACAGCACAAGTGACAGACAAACCCCAAAGATTCTTCCTCACTTACATCATCTGGGTCTGTCTGCCAGTCAGGGAGACTGCAGACCTGATGCCCAGGGTTTCCATGCTCTCTGAGTCTGTTTCCTCATCTATAAGATGAGGGGTTCAAAATAGACAAGACCAGAGAGCTCCAGATACTCCCCAAAGCCACAACCAACAAGGCTTTTCAGTTGTCCTGAGTGAGCCATTGAGGGAATGAAGAAAGGACAGACATACAGACACCCAAAAAAGCTAGGTTTGAGTAGGTCATTCACTCTCATGGAGATCCACCAGGAGCAGCCTAGAAACCCAGCTTATTTTATACATCTGAACCGAAAAGCAAGTCTATTCTATACAGCTGAACCAGAAGTAGATTTTGGTAATGTGGATGGGGGTGGAGCCAGGAGGTTTCTGTAGGGGAGCAGCTCGGGCTGCAGCCATCCAGGAGGAGGCTGTGGTCCATACTGTCTGCACACACTTGACAACATTGCACACCGACCCAGGGGAGGCCCTGCCATTTCCCCGAGCCTGACCTAGAAAAGGCTTTGCCATTCCCATGGGCCTTGAGGCATTGGGGTGCTTGATATGGTAATGGCCCTGTCTCAGCAACACACATTCAGTGGAGACTCCATCAGCTCTCACTCACTCCCTCGGGCAACTCCTCACTAGATCTGGGGCACTTTTCCTAGCAACATCCATGATGCTGAGCTCACTGGTGACTCTAGCTTTCTCTTCTTACCTCACAGTATGTGCTAAAGGAGCCAGACATGGAAGGTTCCCTGAACGGATGCTCACCAGGAGACCTCCTGCGATTTGATGACTATAACAGCGATGGCTCCTTGAGTCTTGGAGAGTTCTACACCGCCTTCCGTAAGTGAGACCTCTGTGCAGGGCTATGGGCGTGGGAACTCATTTCCTCAGGTATTCCTGTGCCTTGGTGGTGATGTGGCAGCGGGGGCCTGGACTGTGGGTACTCAGAACATGTGCGCCTAACCTCAGCAGTCTTCTAGGTAGATTTGGTTTAGATGTGAAGGAAGTTGAGGTTGTTCTGTATAAGCCTGAGCTATAAGAAAGGACCAAATGAGATACGTGGGAAGGAGGCCAACTCTCTGCCTTTTAAATAGAGGTGTTCCTCATCGATAGAGGTATTTGGGGCTATAACTACATCAGGGCTGTAACAGCAATCCTCTAACTGCTTATTATGTGACTTTTCCTGGAGAGACATGAAGAATGTTTACCTAGCTCGGATATGACATCAATGACAGGCCATAGAAATGACTCCATCCAAGTCCAGCTTAGTAAACCAGGGAGAGTTATTGGAATGATTTAAAGGAGGCTGGATGACTGAAAGGTGGCAGTATCACTGAAAAGCCAGCCATAGCATGAGCAATAATTCACAGGTTAACAACTTTCCTGCAGGACTTGAAGGCAGATTGGCTGGTCAGAGTCTCCTCTGTCCTATAATTTCTATTACCTACATAATTTGAGGGTGGTGGGTCCTGTGAGTCTTGTGAGTTTCAGGAGCTTCCTGGCCTTGTTTTATTTGCTTTCTGAGTCATGAGCCTCCCTCCCTCCCTCCAAGAGGGAATGTTTCAATTCAGAGGAAACTGCAATGCTGACGGTGAAGGCAACCAGCCTCCACTGGGGAGCCCTGTGTGGAGGGAGAGTGAAGGATGGGTCAGAGGCAACAGGGAAAGCCTCTGTATGTTCAAGAGACATAGGGGAATATCTAAAGAAGCCACCAACAGTAAGTATTCCTGTTGGGGTAGGTGGGAGCTCTCCATCTTCCTCAATGAACAATTCTCAGAAAAAAAAAATTCTTTAATTAATATGCTATCATAGCCTTTACCTATGAGTGCTTAAAGAGACTCGGCCTTGATCAGAAACGTTTCATAAGGTCAGGCATTATCGTAATATTGTGACCAGTTTAGGGTGATCTCTTTAATCCCCACCCCAAAGGAGATTTTTCTTGGAACTAAGCAAGCTTTCCAGAAGCTGAAATCGGCAAGTTTCTAGTTGAGCCAGTTTGATCTTTAGCAAACAGGGGTTGCTGTCTAAGCAGATATTGGTGGTGGTTACTTCTCACGGGAGAAGAACAGATGTGCACCTTTTTCAGCAGCTGGAAGCAGTGGGCAGGTTTACAGGAGCAGACAGCAGTAGTTCAGGGTTAGCTCTGTGGGGTCCGAGGAGGGAGAGTCTCTTACCCCTGAGCAACTTTGAGTTTCTTCAGTCAGCTTGCTGATTTGTTAACACTTGCTATTTCCACCTGTGTTTTCACTCCTGTGAAAACAGACAAGGTGCTCTGAGTCGCTCCTCCTTTGGTTCCCTGGTGTGTGCACCAAACCTGGAGATGACCTGCTTAGAGATCCCATCAAGCTACCTCTAGGCTTAACGACATAGGAGCTAACCTCAGAGACGTCCACATGTGCCTGCAAGGAGGGGAGGCCAGCTAGTGTACTGGACCCCCACACTAGAGACCAGAAGAACATGCTTTGTCCAGAAGGGGGGTGGAGCTCCTTTATATTCAAGAGTGCTGGAGTCTGCTTAGAACATGTAGTTGGTGAGCCCCGTGACGTGGTGATAGGCACAACCTGTAAGCTCTGGGCACCTGATGGTAGGCATAGGGGAGGCAGAAGGTACTGCATGGCCTGAGCCATAAAACTTAGGATTCTTTCTCTTTCCAGAAGGTGCTCCCACAGTATAGGGAAACTTCTTTGAGCTCTGGTTATCCCCAGGAGGCAGTTCTTCTGCCTGGATGGCAAAGGGACTTTTGTGGATGGAAGAAAACACGCTAAAGGAGAGAAGCAAGTGACTTTTCTCTGCAGAGATTGCTCGCGTGCCCGGTGTGGTTCTGGCGGGGGGTGGGGGTGGGAGAGAAGGCTTTCCAGTTCACAGCATCATTAGTGTCCAGGGTTATGTCCAAACACCATTACAAGGCTTTGTTTGATGTCCTATGATCATGTCTGCTCTTCTAGCATCCTCATCCTTGTCAACTAGCAAAGCCAAAACCTGTACCTGCTGCTAATAGTGGGTGACTTGAAGGCCCGTCTTGTTGCTAGAAGCACCTGTTTGGAACATGGAGAGCTCGTCCCCTAAAATAAATCTTGAAATTTGAAAATCTTTAGGGAGCCAACTACTAAATGACCAGAAATTTTGTAAACACGCAATTGAGTAGTCAGTGGCTTTGAATCTACAGTGGTGGGATTCAATTATCTGACACCTCAGATATCAATAGCACATAAAGGCTACCTAAAACAGGAATAATAATAATAATAATAATAATAATAATAATAATATTATTATTATTATTATTATTCAGAGAGACCTGAATATCACTAGACAGACCCTCCCTGTTGACCCCAGTGCTTGGTTTCGTCTCTCCATCCACTTCCCTTGATAACACCAATCCCATGGAACTCAGATGGACCAGGGAAGCCACATAAGAAGGGACTGCAGCCAGACTTGTTCATCAACTCAGGAAGTGACATGTTTTCTGGGGACAGAAGTGATGCATTCTAGGAATGCTGCCCGAACTCCAACTCCTTTGCAAAGGGGTCGTGCAAGGAGGACGTTTCTAGATGAGGTTAGTTGAGTTGGGAAGACCCACCCTAGATGTGGGCAGAACCATCCCACGGGCCGGGGTCTTAGACTGCTTGAGAAGCAGAAGGCAAGCTGGGCACCATAATCCTCCTCCACCCCCACCTCTCTCTGCTTCCTGAGTGTGGACACACTAGTACCAGCCATCTGACATTCCTACTGCTGTGACTTCCCCGCCACGATGGCCTATATCCCCTTAAACTGTGAGCCAAAATGGGCCCTTGAGTTGCTTTTGTCAAACATCTGGCCACAGCAATGAGTGAAATAATTAACAGAGCTATGTACCGCCATTCCTGTGGCTGAAAATGGTACATCCTTGATCCTGGGAATGGACCTAGAGCCAAACAGAAAGCTCTTGGCTTTGCTTCCGAGGAAATGCAAGCATCTCTACCGCCCATGAAGACAGAGAGTTTCCCCAATGGAGGTGGGTATAAGCATGAGCCCCATAGGAAAGGGGACACATTGTCCCCTCAGCTCCAACCATAGTTCTCAGGCAGGGCACCCTGATGCCTGCTCCTTCCGTTCCTGGATTATCATTTCAAAAGCTTTATAATCATCATTCTTGAGGAAAATTAGATTCTGTGGTTGCCTTGGACTTGTTTTGAACCAGGCAGCCAACCCATTCATCAAAGCCCAGCCCAAATAATAGATATGCAATAAAATGTAAACTTGCAGCAATCGAGGAAGCCACAAAATGAGTTAACCCAGCTATAAAGGCCTGACACACTGCGGCTCAGAGCACCCAGGGATCAATAGCTTTTCAAAGTTATAGGAACCCCTAACTCCCAGAGCTGTAGTGACAGATGTATGGCTGGGTGAGTTTTAAATGAGTAATTGAAATGAGACATACAAGTATAACTGACTCCCTAGAAAGCAGTGGGCATTCACGAAACCTCACTAAAAGCCAGTTGGTATCTTACCCATCTCAGCAGCGACATTTTGGATTTAATTTTAACAGCTGGAGTCAATGGGCTGGCAGAAGCTGAGCATTTGGGGTTTCGTTTTCTAGCTTCTGTTTTGAAGCAAACTCTGTCGCTCTGCTGAGATGGGAGTGGTGGCACACACCTTTCATCTCAGCACTCGGGAGGCAAAATAGGGCAGATCTCTGAGACCCAGGCTACCCAGGGCAGCAGAGTGAGGCCTTATCTCAAAACAAAAACAAACAAACAAAAAACAAAAAGCCAACCAAACAAACAAAACCAAAGATGATAGGTCTGTGTGTTTGCCCTACAGAAATGACATGTATGGGTAAGTTTGGGGGAGGGATGGAGAGAAAGGCTTCTAAAGCTGACCTTCTTGTGATGCTGTTTTGGCCCTTCACTGAGCTGGTTTGCAGCACATAGCCTGATAAGGCTAGAGCATGGTGTTTCATGGCTTGAACTGAGTGGTTCATGGTGAGCTTGCATCTCACTCCTAGCTTTAGGGAGTAGGTGAATGCCATGCTCTGGAAAGAGGGCACAGGATAGGTTTGTTATCCATAAGAACCAAATCTCTCTCTCTCTCTCTCTCTCTCTCTCTCTCTCTCTCTCTGTGTGTGTGTGTGTGTGTGTGTGTGTGTGTGTGTGTATGTACTGGTTTGTGTGTGCATGCAGGTGTGTGGAGGCCAGAGAACGGCCTCTGATATAGTTTCTTGGGCACTGTCCACCTTCATTTTTAAGAGGGTCTCTTCTTGGTTCAGAACTCCTTAAGCAGTCAAAGCTGGCTGGCCAGCAAGCCCCGGGGATCTGCCTATCTCTGTCTCCTCAGCACTAGAGTAGGATTATGGCCACACGCCACCAGGCTGAGCTTTAACAAAAAAGGGGAGGGGTGTTTCTAAGATCAAACATGGGTCCCCATGCTTGCAAAGCTAGCACTTTATCAACTGAACCGTCTCCTCCACCCCTGCACCCATCTCTTTCTGACCATCAGGCAGGGCTAGGACTCCCACCCCAGTCACCCATCCCACACAGTGACAGGCATGAAAGATGAAGGTGGCCTCCCTGTCTTGCTCCATCTATCAACTAAGCTCTGTTTCCAAGTTGCTTTTGACAACCCAGATCAAAGTCAGGTCTAGGAACTAAAGGCACAGTGTCCTCTCTCTCGGTGTGTGTCCTCCACCTCCGTCCCCTCCTCCCCAACAGCCACCTGTCCCTGCTGTGGCAGAGACCCAGGCTCCGTGTCACTGGAAAGCAGGATTCAAGCCAGCCCTGGCTGTTCATCACAGTCAATTAACTTAAAAGTCTCTTACCAAAAAAAAAAAAAAAAAAAAAAAGCCCTATTCTGCATGTTTTTAC